TTTTTTAAAAAATTAAACAAAACAAAAAAAAAAAAAAGCTGAAACCGGTTTGGCTCAGTGGTAGAGCATCGGCTTGCGGACTGAAAGGTCCTGGGTTCAATTCCGGTCAAGGGCATGTACCTTGGTTGCGGGCACATCCCCGGTAGGGGGTGTGCAAGAGGCAGCTGGTCGATGTTTCTCTCTCATCGACGTTTCTAGCTCTCTATCTCTCTCCCTTCCTCTCTGTAAAATATCAATAAAATATATATTATAAAAAAAAAAAAAAAAAAAGAGCTCAAGAGCGTTTAGGCGACTGTGGCTCGACCACCACACCCACCAGCTGGCGAGATGTGGAAGTAGGGGTGTCAAGGACCTTGCTCTTGGAGCCTTAATGCTTCAGGTTCTTGGGCCACAGAGGGGTTAGGAGAGAGGCCAGGTAGCTGGGGAGAATGGGGGGTAGGCAAGAGGGCACCTGGGACAGCAGCTCTTTGCCCGCTGGAATGTAAGTGCTTCAATATCTAGTTCCCAATAGGATTGCCAGCGGGATGTCTGCTGCCACAGCTCCTGAGAGATCAGAGGCCCAGACAAAGGCGGCTGGCATATCACAGCCCCTCCCTCCAGCCCAATTCCTGCAGACATGCGAAAGCTGCTGGACTCAAGGCCCCAAAGCTGCCCTGTCTATGGGCTGCCCTCGGGGGCGCATCGGCTCTGTAAGGTTCCAGCCACATCCCAGGAGAACCAGCGGGCTCACCAGGTATGGCTTCGGGGCAGCCAGGTTTCCTTGCCAACCTTGTCGATACAAAACTTCTGTGGTCCGTTGCTACCTGTTATCCAAAGAAACGCGTCTTCTGTAACAGGACTGTCCCTTCCTGAGGCGGGGACCCTCTCTGGTTCTGCCCAGAAGGCGGAGGCCACGGCTTTTGCCCCTCCCACGGACTTGCTTCCAGGAAGTCACTAGGTCCCACCCTCCCTGAGCCACCCCTACCCCACCCAGGGGTGCCAGCAGGGCAAGGGAAGACGCACCAATGAGTTCGGCAAACCCCCCGACGGGCAAGCGGCAGGTCCCTGTAACGAACTGCAGCAGCCGGATGCTCTTCTCGTTGTCCATCTCCTTCACCACCTGCAACTCCGAAAATCGAAGCGGTCAGGTGACTCCTTGGCTCAGCTCCTCACCCGGCCCCGTAACTCTCCTCTTTGGGGCCGAGCACACAAAACCCGGACGGCTGGGGGTGACAGCCACCCACCTGGGAAAGCCCTAAGCTGCTCCCTCTGAGGCTGCGTTTATAGAACATTCCCATCAGTCCATGGGGCATGGCTGTCGCAGAAACACCTCAGCCCAGGTATTCTCTAAGTTCTACTTTTTAAGACACACTAAAAATGGGGGTGACTGCTTAAAAGTGGGTTCAGGGTTGTTGTTTTTTTGTTTGTTTTTTTTTGGGGGGGGGAAGGAGGATGAACTGTTCTGGAATTAGCTAATCATGATGGCTGCACAAAAGACAGTGCACTATACACTTTAGAATGCTTCACACGGTGAGTTTTATGGTATGTCGAATGTCACCTCAACCAAAACATTTCTATATAGCTATTTTCTTTTTGTGTATTTGCTATACTTCATAATGACACCACCACCCACACACAACTCCTTATAGACAGGAGTTTCTCTGAATGCCCTCCCGTCCCACGTGGCTGGAAGGAAACCACGTGACCTATGGGAGCGTTCCCGTCTGCAGGCTCCCCTACCGCACACTGGCGTTTAGAGTTACCCCAACTGCCCCCCGACACTCCTGACCAATGCACTGGCCACCACCCAGCTGCAGCAGCTCCCTCTGTCCTGAGACTGGGCTTCTCATCTGTTTGCAAGTTGCTGGGGGAGAGGGGGAGAGTGCCAAAGGCCGGGCGGGTGATAACACAGCAGAGTCCTTGGGCTCGAGGTCTAGTCAGGTCTCGTGTCGCTGGGCGGGCTGTGATGACCGGGCAGGACCCACCTGCCAGAACCACTGGATCTGCTTGCTGTTCTTGGTGTAGTGCCGGTAGATGGTGTTCTTCTGCCAGTCGTTCATGTCTATCTCCTGCATGCCGCACAGCATCAGCTGCGAGGGAAAGGGCATCAGCTCCGTGCGCCGGCACTTCCCCGCCAGCAGGGGGAACCCCCCCAAGCCCTGCCAACTACTTCTGCTGGCGGTTTTAACCGTATGGATAACACAAATCTTATACATGGACCCCCTCACACCAGGGCCCAGGGAGGGGTGGGTGTGAGGACCCAAATCAAATTTATTTGCCGGTTGCTACAGTCCTGGGCAGCATGGGTTCTGCTGGGCATTTCTGTGGGTGCACAGTGAGGCTCTCCAAGGGCAGGATCGCCCCGGAGGCAGGGTCCCAACAACCTCAGTTCTCACCTCCAGCTCTTTCTCATCAAAGTAGCGCAGCCACTCCAAGGGGGCCACCTCGTTGAAGCCGTCTAGGAAGGCTTTGGTCTGCTCCTCCACGCCCCGGGTGAAACGCCAGTCGGTCAGTAGCCTGAAAGCAAAGACAGGCTATCGGTGGAGCCTGAGGGGAATCTGCCGAGACTCAACTTCCCGATTCTGGCGCTGCGAGCCCCCGCTGCTGCCGCCCCAGAGCAGAACCTCTGTGACCTCACAGCAACCCGGAGATGCGTGCATCTTTTAAATCATCGCCAGCACCTCCTCCTCCTGTCGCGGCCTGAGCCTCAGACATATGGATGTTAACTGACTAGAGCGAGACCAGAAGAACACGCACGGGTGAATGCACGCACACACGCACGTGAGATGTGGGTTTGAGCACACAGGACCGGGAGTCCTTCCAGTTGGGAGAAAGAAGAGAAAGGTGTCCGAGTGTCAGGACTCTTTGAAGAAAGTCAGCGCTGCAGCCCTACGTCCACCACGTGGGAAACCAGAGGGCAAACGGGAGCTGCAACAGGGCGCTGGGCTCTGGCTCCCCCAGCTCTGGTCAGCGTGTGACCATCCACAGGCCGCCAGCTGAAGGCCATGCCAAATGGGAGTTTCTGTGACCCCTATGGGCCATGCGTGGGCTGCTCTGTCTCTGCTCCCGCACCCCCAACCCGCCTCCCAGCGCTTGAGACTCACATGATGTACTCCTCCTTGTTCTCCTCCGTCACTCGGATGCTCTCGCCACCTTCCTTCAGCTCGTGGGTGGTCACTTTGCCCAGAATCTCCATGTCCTGGATGAAGTACAGCTCGAGGCCACACTCCTCTAGGTTGTTCTCTCTGGGGGCACGAGAGCACAAGAGGGAAGACGTCTCTCTCAGAAGGGACTTCCCGCGATCCTGCTCCACCCCTCACTTTAGTGCCCCTGGGACACGAGGACGCCCAGGCGGCCCAGGACCCAGGACAGCGGCACGGGCCTCTGCCTGGTGCAAGGAGAGAATTCCGGAACTGCCCCACGGGCACCTAGAAGCTGAGCCTCTCCACAAACACTCAAGACAGCCTGGGAAGGCCCAGAGGCCACGACGGCAGAGAAAATAAAGGCGGTGGGTACCTACTCCCAACCAGAGATCCCTCTCCTCCCAACACGAGGCGAGCCAGGGGACTCACTTGATCCAGAGGATGGAGTTGTAGAATTCGGGGTCAATGGACTCCAGGTCCTTCAGGGTCGGTCTCTTGTTGAGCATCCGCTTGTAGAAAGGGAGGGTGAAGCCCGTGTCAATGAACTTTCCATGGTACAGAGCCTGGGGAGGGAGGACACACAGCGGAGGTTTGTGTTCCTGCGGGCAGGCTCCAGGGCGCTCTGCATCAGAGCCCGGTCACTGTCAGCCGCCCTCTGTCCGGAGCGCACCACGCATCCGGCTACTCCAGGCCCCGAGGCTCTTATCGGACCTGCAGACCACAGGGACCCACCTCGGGCCCGCTGCCTGCCCGGCACACCTGCCTGCCGGCTCCCTGCCGTAGCGAAGACGTGCCCGCACTCACAGAGGAGACTCGCCCAGCGCAGCTCCAGGTGGCAGCGCTGACTCGCTGACGCTCAGAGCTGGGCAGCACCGGCAGCCAAAAATAATGCAGACGCCGCTGACGGCGAGGGCTGGCGGGCCAGTGGTGAGTAATAGTCTAGGGTTTTACTGGCCTGGCGGCTGCCGGGCCCAGCGGATCTCTGGACCTGGGAAAAATGTGCCCACTTCCTGAGCCCGACACCTTGGCCAGAAACTTCCAGACCGGAGGAAGGGACATATTTAGACACGGGCTCTTGGGTCCTCACGAGAGGGGAACAGGGCGAAGGAAAGTTAGCAGTGAAACATCAACTACCAAATATGGCAGCGGGGCCCTGGCTCCCATGGGTTCCCTCCTCAGTCCCGGTTCTCCACCCTCGGGAGACATTCAACTGGAGGCACGTGACAGGACCCCCTTCCCTGTCCACGTTATGCTCCTATTTCTAGATAAGTACAGATAATGCGTGCCACCCCCTTCCCTACCCTGCCCAGCTCCTGGCAGATGCCTCCTCCATTGGCACCACTCTGTCTACTAGGGTCTGTTTCTAAGCCAGTGAGGGTTCCATATCCCCTGACAGGGGCCAGTGTCATGGCAGGACAGTCCCAAATGCCCCACCCTGGGCTTGTGACAGACGGTGGCATCCCCAGAGCTGGGCAGTTATGTTGTGCTCCGCGCGTCATCCCAACACCCTCAAAAGAGCACTTGTGAAGCCCGTGACCCAGGGCCCTGGCTTTCGCTTGACAAGTCCTCCCCAGATCACCATGGAAACCCTCTCGACGCCCCTGGGTGGGCACTGAGAGAAGTCCAAACTGGGCTTTTTGCATGTTTACTTAGTTCCGTGAGGGTGACAGTGGGGCTGCTAGTGGTGCTCCCTGCAGGCCTCGTGGCAATGAGCCTTACCATGGCAATGAACCTGCCGATGAAGCGGAAGTAGGTGAGGTGGTCGGGGTTGATGGAGGAGGCGGGGTTGATCTGCAGGCAGTAATTGTTCTTTCCAGCGTATTCGAATAAGCAATACATGGGGTTGAGCACCTCGTGGGACAGGAGGAAAAACCACTCTCTGTGAGAGAGAGAGAGAAAAACAGGACTAGTGGATCCTCCCCTGCACGTGGGCTGGAGGCGCACGGCTCCTCTGCCGTCCTTCCCAGCGGCTCTGGAGACTCGGGTCCGGGGCAGGCGAAGTAACAGCAGGTCAGTGGGCAGGGTGGGGTCACACCCGGGGCGAACGGGGACCACGGCCACGCTTGAGGGTGACGCTCAGGAAAACGTGAGTCAGCTCCAGGTGGGCATCCGGGACTTTACATCTTAATGGCAACGGGCCCCCGGCACCCTGGGGCCACCAGGCACAGCTGGGCAGGCTGTGCACTACACAAGGGAACTATGGTACAATAGCACAGACTTGCACATTTATTGCAACAATTTTCCTGCAGCCAAGGCGTTCCTTTCCGTTAAAGCCAGAATATCGCGACCGTTTTCCAACATGGAAGTGTCTTGAAAAAAGGGCATCTTTTTCCAACTCCTGCGGTGGTGCTGTATGCACAGCAGCCACCAGGCGTCCACCCGGCCTGAGCAGGCAGCGTGACATGAACACATGCGAATGCACTCCTATGCGTAAACTGAGATCCATGCTGCCTGTAGATGATAAACCTCACCCCCGCCGCAGGGATCTTGCTTCCCTGGCCCTTTGCCCTCTCGTCCCCCAGGCCCCATTACCAGACCGTGCTCGTGCTCCTGTACATTCACCTGAACCAGCACCCATGCCTTGGCGTCTCTTAGGTACAAGCCTCAACCGGAATTCAGAGTCCCTTTGGGCTTCCGCTAAACCCACTGGGGGAACACCACAACGTGGCCAGTCCCTGGCTGCTGGGCTGTCTGTGGCCGGGCAGACGAGGAGTCCTTCGATGCAGAGGGTGCCCCGGTATCCTGTCCGTGGTTCTACCCTGTGGTAGAACAGCATGACGTAACCTACCATAGGGTAAAACCACTGGCAGGACACAGAGAGACGGACACACACAGGGCGGGAGCCACACCAGAAGCCCACCAAGCAGAGCCTGGAGAGGAGGTCACCACGGGAAAGACAGCCATCGATCCACCGGAGCCAACACAGAGGGCAAAGCCACCAACGAACAGAGGACCCAACAGCAGCGAGTTCACCCAACACCAAGCGAGATGTCCCCACGCCGAGACAGGTGAGTGAGCTGAGCGGTCACCAAGGGCTAAGGCACTCCTTCTCTCTGCCGGGGCCCTTCAGCCCCATCGTCCACGGCGACGTGTTTGCTAGAGAGTCTGCTAACTTTCGTAGGTGGACTATGGTGAGGGAGAAAACGATGCTCTGGGCTCTTTTGGGGATTGTGTCAGCCGTGTGAACTGTGCTGACTCTGTGTGGGTGGCATGCAGCTGAATACTGGTCAAGGCCCTTTGGATTGTGACACAGCTTGTCCATGCCTGGTATGTACCAAGATGCCCCATTTTAACCTGCCCCAGCGGCCTTGAAAGTAGGAGAAGTCCAGGGGTGATTTTAATGGACGACCACATGGCACCAATATTTAGCTGCTGCCCACCGGTGCGGCAGATGGTGTTCAAGTACAGAAATCATGACAGTCATGGCTGGTGAAAGAGCCATTGCCGTGAGCCCTCCCTCCGGGACCCCCAGGACCCAGCAACTAAAGGTGAGTGCCCAGCCCCGCTGGGAACCCTGGGACCCAGTTGCAGCATTCGAACTGGCCGTACCCGTGCCCTCTCCTGAAGAAGTGGAAGGTCACTGGCAATCAGTCTGAGCAGGGAGGAGGCAGCTTTGCAGCCACAGGCCCAGTACCCCGGGGAAGCGGGGTGCAGTGCGGCCCTCCCGGGGCACCGAGCTCACCTGGCGATGCCCCCGTAGTCCAGGCCCTCCTCGCCACGCATGATGATGTAGAGCCGGCGGCGCAGGTCGTAGGGTTTCATGTTCATGATCTGCGGAGACAGAACATCGTGGCCAGCCTGCCACTCTCCCTTCATGGCAACGGGGGGCAGTGGGCAGGGGACAGACACCACTCACCGAGGCCCAGGCCTTGGAAACTCTACTGTGTGGGTTTAATAGGCCACGTGACAGGAGATGGGGAGTGGGAGGGGGCCTGGCACCGGCCTCTGGACTTAGGCAGATACCATAATTGTTTTCTAACCTGCTGGAAAGAGTCCTCAAAAAGCGTCTGCCTGGAAACGCTGATCTTCACGTGGCTGGGGAGGGCATTTGACTGGAAGGAGAAGAGACAAACCTTGAATCAGGCCTCAGGAGGTAATTATCCAGTCTGGCCTCCCCTGTCTCCCTGGGCCGGGAGAGGAGAGCCTGGTCCCTAGAAATGGGAGCTGGCTTCCTGGAGACAAGGTCAAACGACGTCAAACAGGATCAGTGGCCTGCCTCCCAGCTGACCAGGCTGCTGCTGGGCTGGGAAATGGGGCTGGAATGAATCCACCACTCCAACCTGCGGGGGACGGCCCAGGACCAGAACTCACGTGGCAGAGGAAACGGAACTGGTGATACTTCCACCGGAAACTTCGGTCATAGGCTCCAGGGGAACCTTGCTTCGTCCTGGGAAGAGCAAAGAAGTTCTGGAATCTGGGAATTCTCAAAAATTAGCAACATATCTGTTAGTCCTAAGGACAGCTGGTGCTATTTTAAAGAAGGGTAAGTTAAGGCATACAAGAAAGGAAGTGACTGCCTTTATCTTTGATAGATTTGAGAAGTAAAACAAACAAACAAAAAACCTAGAAATAAAGACAGATTTTTTGCTTTGAGAGAGGAAGCCGCTGGTGTTACTCTGAATAACTGGGGGGGGGCCCTCCCTCCCCAGCCCTGCTAATGTGACATGGAAATTGGCCGCTAGAGGACAGTGAGAGCAGCTGAACATGGATACGGCTGTCGCCTGTGGCAAGTCCTTACCCTGACTCAAACCCTGGGCGAGGATCCTTAAAGGTGGTGGTGCGGGTATTGTGGTCCACGAAGTAGCGCACCCCCTCGCTGGTGTACTTCATCTCCCATCCTGGGGGCAGAGCTGGCTCCTGGATCATCCTGCAGACACGGGAAGAGGGGGGTGAGGGCTGGCCCCATCTTCTGGGCCTCAATGCTTAGGAGGATGGGGTCCCCAAAGTGCTCCATTCTCTCTGCTTTCACCCAGGCTCTGCAAAGCTTTTCCTTAAGGAACTGTACCTGGTACCACCCAAGTCATGAGGACAGTTTTGCAGAACAGAGAGGTCATTTACTGTCCCAAGGCCAAAGAACCAACCCTCAGAGACCACCAGTAATCCTGAGGCACCGACTGCCTCAGTCCCAGACCAGCATGGGTGGGGGGAGCACAGCGTGAAATCATGTTATCAGCAGCTTACACAGTCAACACAGCTACCAGGAAAGTCCATTTAAGGAGCCCCTTTAAGCTCTCAGTCAGCTGACTCTGCATCATGAGGGTCTCCAGGCACTCGTGTGTGACTGAGGGCCCCAGAACACTGGCCATGGAGGACAAATGCCGCCCGAGGCCACTGGGCCGCTGCTGGAGCCGCACAGGGCCCCCTCCCAGCTCGGGCCCTTACCCCTGCGTCCGAGGGTCCTCCCACTGGGTGGTGCGTGTGTTATGGTTCACGTAATACACCCGTCCGTTGTCTTGTCTCTTCTCTGCCAGGGAGAAGGAGGAAAAGAGGACAGTCAGATTGGGACATCTTGAGTCCTGTTCTCTGCCCCTCCGGGTGCCCCTTTCCAGGTGCTGGGGTCTGGCTTGCCGCCGCTCCCGCCCTGCTGGAGAAGTTTAACCAATAAAAGCCTGGCTCGTGCACATCTGTCACTGGCAAAGGGGACAAAGAGAATCTTTCCTTAGTGGGGAGTGGTGGAGGGACAGACACATTTCCAGCTCAGGATCAAGCACTGTCTTTGGTTGGTTGGAGAGCAGGGGAGGGGAGAGGGAGGGCACAGTGTGGCAACACTGAGGGGCAGCAGCCCAGCTGAAAGCAGAGGCCTAATTGCATCCAGCTGTGTGCAAAGTGGAGGCCCTCACCCACGCCCCATCCCCCTCACCAAGTCCCTGGCAGCTGGTCTCTGGTCCTGCAAGCGCTCTGCCCGCCAGTTGCAGGGATGGAGGCGCCTGTGGGGGTTGTATTACTCTCATAACTCTCTCTGATCAGTACTCCACCTACCCTCTACTTATCTTTTCTCTCCTCAGAGGCAAAGTTTTGTCCTAAAACTCTCACTCTCTATGTTGCTTATGTGCAAATAAATGCAGGGACTGCGGCACTTACAATGCCCTTCTAGCTCTCACACCTAAGGGCATGCGTCCTGCGTTTGGGAGAGCTCAGACATTCTCTCTCCTCTGGACAAGGCTTACTCTCTTGCTTGCCCTTTGCCTGTGCTCTGAGGATGGCCTGGGGTCCTTCAGGGAGGGAATCGGCTTCAGGAGCAGACCCGATTCTAGTGGGGACTCCAGGCCCTGAAAAAGGTTAAAAGGTCACCCCATCAGCTCTGGGTGCATGGAAGGCAGAACTCAGGGCAAGGCTCTGAGCCCAGACGGGTTGCCTTCCCCAGAAAGTTTCTGGGCCTTCAAATCTGTTTCTGTCTTGAGAACAAATGATGCTAATGGCCCCCTCTCACTGGGGAAAATTAAAGAAATAAAGACAATCAGTTCCAGAACCTAACAGGGAAACCAAAAATCAAAAAGGAGCAGAACTGGGGCGGGAGCCCCCATCCCCTCCCCTCAAGTGTCAGGCTGCAACATTCCCAATACCAACCCCAGGCTTGGACTCCGTCTATCTTACCTGGTATCCATTCATCGATAAAAAACAGGCAAACAAAAGGAGTCAAGAGAAGGAATTTGCTACAGAGCTACGCCCACCTCAGAAGGCTTTCTGAGAGGGACCTGCGGGAGGGAAGGGCCCCCAGCCAGAGGCTTCTGCCCTCAGCTGGACCCTCCACATTTGCTCTGCCTGGGCCTCAGTCAGCGCTCACCGCCAGGCTGCGGGATCTGCCCAGTAGGTCTGAGGCCTGTGCCCTTGCTTCTGGCACTGCTCCCTGCACAGGGGGTCTTTGGTGTGGTCCCTCAGAACTGCTCTGCTGCACACAATTTCATGGTTTGGGGCTGGAGAGTCCTAAGAGCACCTAGCTCAGCCTCATTTAGGGAGAAATGGACTCGGGGACTTTCGGGCGCGTGTCCAGGGATCAGGGAAGCTGAGGAGATGTGGGCCAGATGCCCCGGCCCCTGAGCGGATGCTCAGGAAGGACCACGGGGTCTGTCATGAAGGAGTAGGAAGGGACGCAGGGCTGAGACCAGGAGGACACAGCAGACCCGACAGCAGGCTCGTGCTAAAGGCAATTCTCGTTTAGTTCTGCTGCTCTTCCTGTTCAATCTCGGCTCTCCCTGGGGAGATGCCCTGCACCAGCCCTGGAGAGGCCAGCACAGAGCCCGAAGGATTCGGTTAGGGAGGGCCCCTGGCCCTCGGCCAGATGCTCTCTCTTCTCTTCTCGGTCACATACCATTTAGTTTTGTCCTGTTTTCCTCATCATTTGTAAACAGCACCGATTCCAACCATGGCTCCGAGTCCCATCTCAGATATGTCACATGTGGCTTCTGGGAACTGTTTGCAAGTCCTTATAGCTACACCCTCACTTGGTGACCATCATTTAGCAAAACTGGCACAGAAATCAATTACTTGACTCTACGGAGAAAGGTGCCACTCTGAGCCCCCAGCTCCAGGTCACAGTGTCTACTGGCTGCCAAACAGCATTCCAGGTTCCGGTTTAATCTGTTGAGTTTCCCCCTACCTAGACAGGGATCTTGTGCGGGACCTCTGACTCGCTGCCAGTCTCTGAGACAGCAATGACCTTTCATCGGCTCAGGGAGCGAAGTGGATTCTCTAGTGAGAAATCAATTGTGCAGAGGCCTCCCTGACTGACATATCCCACCAGGAGGGACGAGGAGGGCCCGCCAGCGCTCCGGAATGCTGTGGTGATTCAGTAAGTGATACCCTGCGGGTCCCAGGGGGTTGATGCAACTTCGTAAATTACTACCAGGGAGCAGCTGTGTCTGCACCGGGAGGCTCCGATGCACATCCTGTCATTGTCAGCTTCTCCGTCTTTGCTGGGGAGCATGCCCCCACCCAACTTAATACCATCTGTGAACACCACCAAACCCGCGTTTACTGTCTCCTGCCGGCCTAACCAATCAATTAAACCCAACACAGGCCAGTTCCTGCTACACAGTCCTCTTTAGCTCCCAGGAACTCTTGCCTGCTGGAAAAAAAAAAAATCCCGACCCAGCTCAGAGAGCTGCGGAAAGCACCCAGTCTCACCATCTATGATGACCCCTCTTTGCGTGACCACTCCATCCCAGAAAAGCCATAAAGTCTGTAATTTCTCTCAGGTCCATCTATCTCATTACTGCAAATCACACCAAAGACTTAGGTGAGAGGCAGCTGTCGATGACGAGGAGAAGCCAGCATGATGCCGTTAACTAGCAATGGTGTATTTTAACAGAGTCCCCACCCGTCGCTCAGCGGCTTCCCTCCGGCCCCTTTCACAGCCCGTGTCCCCCCCCCCCCCCAAAAAAAAAAAAAAAAGGTGGCTTCCGTTAGCTCAGGGGTCGGAGCATCTCAGCATTAAGCACACATCTCTTCAGCTGCCCTGACCCTGGGCGTGTTCCCGAGTGTTCCCGAACGTTCCCGAGTCCATTTCTCCTTAAATGAGGCTGAGCTAGATGCTCTCAGTCCTCCAACATCTCAGCTGTAAAGAAAGGTTTGGTAAAGTAGCTCCTTTCAATCACACGCCACAGATCTGAAATAAACGCATCTGGGAACCAGCCATGTCAACAGTGGCAGGATGGGTGGTTGTTGGGAAGACACCTTGAAAGTCAGGACCCAAAACCAACAGCACCACAGCCGCTCGGGGACTTCCTTCCGCTATGGCGGAAGTGAACGCTACATGGCAGGGGGACTCCGTTACTTTCCCAGCCTTCCCGCTCCATGGCCTGCAACTTCTCTGGCTGGGCATCCCCACAAGAGCGTGCTGGAAAGAAGTGAACTGGGAAACCGAGGGAGGGGAGAGAGGAGGACTCGCAGGGAGAGCAGGGAGCACGGTGTGGCACCAGCGAAGGGAGGCGGAGGGACAGACGTGGGACTCGGTACTTACCCCAGCCGGGAGGGAGGGGGCCCAGTGGGTCATGGTCGGTTGAACCACTCGAAGACTAAACACAAGAAACAGCAGAACACAGAGGTTAAAAAAAAACAACACGCCGCTGGTTAAAAATAAATCGATAGATAAACCTAAAAAACGCCAACTCGTTTCCACATTTGGGCTCTTTGTAGAGGAGATCGTGGGCCGTTGGGTGACATCTGCTCCCCTCAAAAGTCTTTTTCAAAAAAGAAAAGCTGAAAAGGGACCCTGCACGCCGAGGACCCAGATAGGTGGTGGCGAGGGTGGTGTGAGGGGGAGGAAGAGGAGCGCAGACGAAGGCGGGCCAGGGCCCCAGAGGCGGCGGGCTGGCCCCGGGCATGGTCGAAGGGCCCAGAGCCGGGCTGCTGGCGAGCTCTGCCGGCCCGGTGCCTCTGCTCAGCTCCTGCTCTCCCGCGGCCAAGGCAACTGAAATCACCACCACCTCCAACTTTCTCCAAGAACCACACACGGGAAGGGAAAAAAAATATCGCAGGCCTTTCCAATGAAATCATTCCCACAAGCCCTGCCCACGCCCAGAGCTTCCTGGCTGGGGGCTGGGCCCTCCTCCCCGCACCTCCCTCCTGGGTGCGCTGGAAGAGGGAGCCGGGTGTGCAGCATCGGCCCAGACTGAGGGCACATTCATGCCCCGGGCCCCTTACCTCCCCCAGGAATGTTTTGCTTCCCTTCACAAAGCACCTTTATTCTCCTCCGGCCTGAACCTGAAGCTGCTCAGTGTTCTGTGTGTGCCTGTCTGGGGAGGTGGGGCTGGGGGCGAGGTGGCAGGAGAGAAGGGGAGACAGGAGAAAGAAGGGGGAGCTGACTCCGGGACTTAAGGGTCGCTGTTTACAGTAGAGCCCCCCACCCCCAGCCAAATTCTGCTGCAAGGTCCCTGGGGCAGGGCTGCTGGGGCCCAAGGGTTCTCATATCCTGTGGGGAAGGGGGTGCTGTCAGAAACTCTTCATAGTTAAATAAAACAAGTATTGTTCTGCGCTTGCTCTCTCTCTCTCTCTCTCTCTCTCTCTCTCTCTCTCTCTCTCCTTTTTCCCCCTGAAACATTTTTATTTCACTTACTAAAATTTAATCATTACATTAGGGGATCAAGTTCTCCAGGCAGACTTCGAGCTGCCTGGCTGGCCCCTCCGGAGCCACACACAGGCACGAGGATGAATGGAGCTCAGTCTCGGCTTGAGAAAACATTGGTGGAACTCAACTGCCAACGAACCCCCTTTCACGGCCGCCCTCAGCCCCCAGCTGAAAGCACAGAGAAACGTTCTTTCCGAGGTGGCAGCGCAAGCAACTCTTCCTGAGCGGGTTCCAACAAAGACGTTTAAGTCTGGAAACCATAGGTTCCTTGTTGGGACAGAGCCCCCTTTCAGCCGCGGGCCTCAACCCGGCGGAATGAGACTGCACCGAGGTGTGGGAGGCGGGCTGGGCTGGGCTGGCCTCCACGTAGGGCACGTTACCGTCAGTGCAACGTGGAGGACGTGCGCAGAGTCTCCCCCACAATTCACGTTTGTCTGGTGGTCACAGAGAACGATCTCCCAAATTCACAGCCGTCGTTTTTTGCTGGGGTTGGGGTGCAGCAACTCAAGTGCTCCCACGTGTGTTTGAAACACCCATGCATTTCAGATAATGAAGCCAAATACAATGCCGTGCGGTAAGCACTGAGCTGCAGCAATGACCCTGAAGGAGGAAAGGACTACGGAAAAGGTCATTTTAAGAATTTGAAAGAAGCATTCGGTGCAAAATTATTTGCTGCTTCGGGTCTTTACTTGGAATGAGTGGACAGTCCACAAGCACTGAGGGGCTCCGATGGGCACCAACTGGGTGGGTTTCAGTGGACTTAGAGGCATCTTTTGCTTAACCGTATAAATCAACAGACCAAATGTCTTTACTGACAGTCTCTGTGACCTGCATTGAACTACAAACAAAAGATATTGATCAGCTAGCAAATAACACAGCATCTAGCATGTAGACACATGACTTAAGAATAGCCAATCAGGTGCTTCCACCCAAACTTGCAGGGAATTGGAAAGAAAGCATGGGGGCTGTTGGAGACACCTCACTGCTACAGTAGAGACCGCAGCCCATTGGACCACACAGTGTTTAACTGCAGATAGATGAGTGATGCCCTACCAGTGGTCGGCAAACTGCAGCTCGCGAGCCACATGAGGCTCTTTGGCCCCTTGAGTGTGGCTCTTCCACAAAGTACCATGGCTTGGGCGAGTCTATTTTGAAGAAGTGGCATTAGAAGAAGTTTAAGTTTTAAAAAATTTAGCCCACCAAAGAAATTTCAATCGTTGTACTACTGATATTTGGCTCTGTTGACGAAGGAGTTTGCCGACCATCATCCCTTTGCCCTGCCTACCCCTGGTTTTCTATCAGTTTGGTTCTTTATTGTTCTGTTAATTCCCACTTGATAAATTCCTTTTTTGCTTAAGCTTAACCAAGCAGGTTTCTATTATTCATCAAAATGAACATTGACTAGCGTACAAAACACAGGGAGGAGAATAAAAAGACATTATCAGCCCTTTTCTTAATCCTTGACTTTTTAATGTCACAAGCTTCATACAATGCTGGCTGTCCTTTGTTAAAGTGGTTTTTAAAGAATGTCTTCAGCATCCTCCCAGTCTCACCTCCAACACTTGTCAGAAGAGAGAAAAGGAAGGAGGGAGGGAGACAGAGACCAGACACTGATAAACAGGAACACGTGAAATGGAGCCCCTGGGAGCCGACCACCTGCCCTTCTCTTCTACCACACTCCCCAGGACGCACGGTCGCAGGTGGGTGGCTCACAGCAGAAAAGCACAGAGAAAGGGGCCGGGAGGGATTACAGCCAGAAGAGCGATCCTAGGACGCGCAGGCGACTCGGAGGGACAAGGCAGTTTCCTTTATCACCAGGAACAGAAAGGAACGCTGCTGAACAATTTTCCTGGGAAGTGTCCGTGCGTTGGGAGATCCGAGGTACAGGCCATGAGCCAGACAGCTCATGTGAGTTCAAGTCTCTCAGGGAATAAGCACCAAGTTCCAGTAATATTTTAAGACACAAACTCAGAAATAAAGAATGTCTAGCAAATAAAACCAAGGGCGAGAAAGGCTCTGGAAAGGACATGAAGGTTACAGTGTGGAAGGCAGGCCCCTTTTTTTGTAACGGTGACACCCAGTGGGTGCAGAACGAAACCCAGGTGTTTGAGAACTCAAGCCCAGGGGCCCTCTGCACAACAGTGAGAACCAGGTTGTCTGTTTCTGGATAACGCAATGCGGCATCCTCAGATTAGGAGCCACAGAAAGATTTGCTTCAGTCACACCGACACTAGATTATTAGGAGAGGCCCAAAGGGGGAGCAAAGGAAGTTGTGTCACAGAAATAGCAGTAGATGTGAGATGGGTCCTGTCACAATACACAAGGTGCACAACCGGGCCGGGCCTCCGCAGTGGACTGCGGTGGGAACCCAGAACAGAAGGTAAAGTGAAAGTGCACATCCGAACACAAGTATGTGCAACAAAGGCACCGAGCAGTTAGGACAGGAAAACATGTCAGAAATAAGGGAGCAACAGAGACCGAAAAAGATGTGCGTTGAGGCAGATGGCAGGAAGGAACTGAGGGAGTCTGCAATCTGGGGTTCCCTTGATTTCCTTCATGAACTGTATTTTGTGTTCTCTGCGGGGCGGCAAAGAACAGGTCTCACTTTCAGCCCCACAGGAGCAAGAGGAGGAGGGGCGGCCGCTGGTACAGTATCAGCTCTTGAGTCTACCACGTCAAATCCTGGGCCAAGACCAAACCCCAAAATAACTCCATGAAGGCGACTCTTCTTACTCGTAACCAGGACATGGCACCACAGCAAACAAGAGGGGCAAACCAAACCCAAGGGGGAGGGAAATCAACAGAGAGTCATTGAAAGCTGACCCAGAAAATGTGGGTCTTGTTTCAGGCAGAAAAGGGAACCATCACCTCCATGCAGAGCCCTCCTAAATCCCGAACCAAGCTGAGAAAACCGTATTCAAGTACTTAGAAAAAAAAAATATAGGGCTTAGTTTTTACTTCTAGGAGACCCTCCAAGTCAAAATTCTTCCTCTGCAGCCCCAGAAAGATGCTGCTACAATGAGAGGCAGATAAGCCCGCCTCCGTGGCAGCGCTGAGGATGTCTGACTGACAGCTTAGGCCCACTCCCTGTGGACATCCCTCGAGGGCTCCCGAACTGCAAGAGGGTGCAGGTCGAGCTGAAAAAACCCACCGAATGCACGAATTTTGTGTACCGGGCCTCTAGTGTGCCAATAAAACTTTATTTACAAAATCAGGCAAGGGTCAGTTTGGCCCACAGGCCACAGCTTGCCAACCCATGATCTAGATCAGTGTTTCCCAAAGTGTGGTACGCGTACCCCCAGGAGTACAGGAAGAGTTTGGTGGGGGTACGCGTTGCACCGGAGTTTGGTGGGAATATGCACTGCATCGTGATTAGCTGCGCCTAATTCCTATGTTCTCATGAGTATGAGGGGTACTCAGCGTTACGAAAATTATAGAGGAGGTACACATTTGTCAAAAGTTTGGTAAACACTGATCTAGATGAACTTTAAAGGCCCTTTCATCCTTGAGCATCTGAATGATAATTAAGACCTAAAGAAACACAGTAGCAATGGGAAGAGAAGTATCTTGGTGGTCGCTTTGATTTGAAAGGTGAGATATAGAAGTCACAGCTGACCAGGCTCTAAGGCCGGGTAAATGGACTTGGATGGGAGGGCCAGGAGAGAAATCCCATGTTGAAAGAAAGATGGTGAATTCAGCTTCAGACACATTGAGTCCTTTGACACAGAGGCTGAGCATCGAGTTACTAAGTTAGAAACACGAGAGTTTGAGGAATTTCACTGTGTTGAGTAAAATCTCAGGGTCAGGGCACTGACATTTTCCCTGCTCACCCAACAGGTCAGTGGAGACCAGGCGAAGCTGCAATTCCTGCCCTCTCACCTGGTAGAGGAATCTTTGGCTGAAGTGCTGCATGGCGCCCTGGAGCTGATTCCGCTGTGACTGCCACTGCTCATAGTTGCGCACATACTCGGCTGTGGGCCGCTGCCAGGTGGTGGTCCGAGTGTTGTGATCCACGTAGTAAAATCTGCCTCGGGGGTCTGTGCGTTTCTCCCAGCTGGAAACATGAAGCTCAGCGTGAATACAGTGACCACCCTACCCCTACCTTCAAATTCTGGCAAAATCTCAGATGGTTGACTAGAAGGGACCAAAGGAGGGTGGAGGGTGGTGTCTGGCACAAGAGCTTGGCTGCTCGTGGGAAGCACAGCCAGGCAGGCCCCGATCACAGAGGCTTCTGAGGCTTAGATGATTATAGAGAAAATGTGTGGTTGCATCCTTAGCAACCAATCCCTCCTTACCACTAGCTCCTGATTCCCACTCAGGCGATGTATATGGTTTTGGGACGATGACTCTACTCCCAACCCAGGAGTTGAACTATTTACTAAACCAATGGTCAATTGCTGCATCTTGATAATTTTGCTAGGAATTATGGAAAAAGCGGTCTTTCTTCCTTGCAGGATATGACCGAGAAAGCATGCAGTCTGGGAGCTGCCATCTTGAACCCAAACAACGTGAAGTTGGCCCAGTGGATGGCAGAGCAGAAAAGTGGGGGAAATCCAGCTCTTTGGTGATATTGTTGAGCTACTAGTTCAGGCTTCACTTGAAACCAGGGCTACATCTCAAATTTTGTTATATGAGCCAATAAATTCTCTTCATCATTGAAGCCTATTTGGATCCCACATTTTTTTTTTTTTTATTGGCATCTGAAATTACCCTGATACAAGGTGCCAGTGAAGACATGTTGCATGGTGATAGGAATGTTGGTGAAAATGGCAGCAAGACTCTCCACATTATTTTTGGTTAGTAACAACCTTTCCAAAGTTGGTCCTAAAACTCCCATGGGCAAGGCAGGGCTAGAATAGGTGGTAAAAACCTCGGCCATGCTTGACAGGTTTCATTTCATTTCCACATACACAAGGGCGAGGTGAGCAAAAGAAAGTAAGAGAGGGATGTACCTGTATGGGGTGATGGAAATGTTTTTTATTTTGGTGGGGTATAGGCTACACCAGCGTATGGATTTGTCAAAACTCTACAAACAGCACATCCGAGATCTGTATATCTTATTGTATGGGAATTATACTTCAGTTTTAAAGGTGAATTTGAACCTAATCAAGCCTCCATATCTAACTACGGTACCAGTTTACAGGAAAGATAAGGGATACAGAAGCATGTTACACACCACCACAAGGTCACAATTAGCCACATCCAGAACATGAG